GCAGTCGATTCCGAATCGTCTGGCCACTCACTCTCACACCAGTGTCTGTTTGAAGACGAGCGCTGATCTGATTTGCTGTGATGACACGATTTCTCAAGGCCAAGGTACGGATAAATCGATCCTGGGCTTGAGTTGTCGCCCTTGGTCTGTCCTGTACAGATTGTGTATCACGGTATCTGGACCATAGCCTGCTTATGACAGACTGAGAAACATTCATCGTCCGCGCCACAACCGCCTGTGTTGTGCCGATCTGTAGCATGCCAAGGGCACGTAACCTTTCATTTTGGGTAAGCCGACGCATATCAAAATCTGTTTTCTGGTCACTAAAACAATTAAACTGATGTTTCCACCCTGGAATTCAATGCCACAATGACTGTAACATTCAAAGTCAGAGTCGTGCAAATCTTGGGTTGGACCCCATGATGATCCCAAGCATCACCTGCATTCCATGCGGTAGCTATTGGTGCGTTTGGGCGTCACATGTAACTGGAAATGTTTCTTCTGTTAGGTTCTATAGTGACTTTTTTCGTAGTCATTTGCATATTTTAGTATTATGCCCCCAAAATCAAATATCCCCTACTTTTTTTGAATAGTATATTATTTAAAAATCAATAGGGGAAACCATTAATATATTAAATCAATCTTCTATATAGGAATAAGGGCTTATGAAACCATATACACAAAATATATAACAACTAATTATCGCCAATAAATCATATTGGGAAACCACTGATAATAGTAAAGTTACAGGTCAAAAGGAAACTTATAATAACATACAAAATAAATACATCTGGTTAGCCTAAAATGGTAAGGGGAGATTTTATCTTAAAACTAGTCTAGTAACGGATCAGAAGGAAACTTATAAAAACATATTGAAAGTAATTATATAATAGCACACAATTATAAGGGGAACCACATATTAATTATTTCGTAGATGAGAAAACAAAAGATAGGAAACACTTATTATATTACTTATTAGTCTTCACTATTATAAATTAATATGTAACCACATAAACACAGGGTATACTCAGGTACTATTGTGATTCAGAGTTTATACTGCAGTTATTATAATATGTATAATTCAATTTCCTGCGATTAATGCATCATAGGCAGGTGGTAGATAGATGCCTTCGTCTCTATTTAATGTTGGTTTGTGGCGTTTTATATTGATAGCTTCCAAAATCTTCCTTTTCTTTGTGTGGTTTTGGTGGATTGCTAATTTCTTTGTCTTTTCCCATAGTATCTTGTATTTTGATGGACTTGGTCTGCTACAGCTGAGGTCTGGTTATATGGTTTTGGTAGGTGTTGGTTAAGTCTAACATCTAATGGTTGCCTACTTTCTCCAATGTAGCTGCTTTTACATGAGCAGAAGACTTGGTAAACACAGCCTTTGGGTGACGTTGGTTTGGTTGACTTGCATTTACCATTAGCTTGGAGGATGTCTTTGATGGTGTTTGTACCTGAGAAGGTTACCTGGATACCAGCTTGTTGCAACAATCTTCTTATTTGGTATGATATTTTGCTGTTAAAGGGGATAGTGATTCTGATAGGTGGCTTATCTTTTGCTTTGGAGACGTTGTTGTCAGATAGTGCTTTCTGTATTACATCTTCTACTAATTTGGGTGGGTAGTCATTAAAGATGGTAAAAACTTCTCTGAGGTGGGTCATCTCTGCATCTAGTTTCTCAGGTGTTGAAATTCTTTTTGCTCGTTTTACTAAGGATGATAAAGTTGCTCTTTTGATACTGATTGGTTGGTTGGATTTAAAATGTACGTACTGGTCTGTGTGCGTTGGTTTCCTATATACACTGGTTTTTAGGGTGCCGTTTTCTCTCTCTACTTTTACATCAAGGAATGGAAGGGTGTCATTAATTTTAGTTTCTGATGTAAATTTGATACGGTCGTTCTGTTGGTTAAGATGTTGTAGTAAGGTTGTATGTTCTTCTATGCTGTTTAAGATGACAAACGTGTCATCCACTCTGCGAAAATAGGCTATAGGTTTAACGGGTGATATTGCTAGGGCTTTCTCTTCAAACGCGGTCATGAAAATTTCAGTTAGTAGAGGTGATAACGGGCTCCCCATTGGCAGGCCATGAATTTGTTGGTAAATATAATCATCCACCCAGGTGAAGTAGGTTGCTTGAATACATGTTCTGGTGAGGTCTATTACGTCGTTATTGTTAAGTGTGCTGTCCAGCGGTTCAGGCAGGTTGTCTAATCTTATCTTAAGTTCTTCTAAGGCTAAATCATGGGGAATATTTGTGAACAAATCTGTAACGTCGTACGATACCATTACTTCTGTATTGTCTTGGCGATATAGTTCCTGACAAAATTCGGCGGTTTATAAAAATTCATAAAAACCCAATTAAGCTAGACTATTGATTTGTTCGCGAGATTCTGTATTTTATAATACAGCACAGTTTCTCTCCAAACTACTCTCACCTTTAGGGAAGTCAGCAGCCTCATTCATCAAAGACTCAGCCAAATTTTGTCAGGAACTATATCCGCTATGATTATGCCTCATTGATTTGGTCCATTCCTTTCAAACTTTCGCTTCTTATCTATATATTAAAAGTCTTATTTTTAATTTGTAGTAAAAATAAATGTGATACGAATTGAATTGCTACCCCGTTTCAAACCGAATAGGCTAACGGTACCAAAGCCATTGAAAACGTTACTTGATAATTGAGATTATGTAGGTGGAGTTAACGCCTGTCAATCAAACGATCGGCCATTCTCGGAGACGGTGAAGAGAGAGTTGACTCCTGTTTCTAGTCAAAAATTACAATGGTGATAACTTTGTTCAGAATAAAGTAATTTGACTGAAATTTTCAATATATTCTTCTTTCATCATCTTTTTTTGAACTGGTATAGCAAGAATGCCCAACTCTCTATTAAAATCTCTCATAATGTATCTTTAAAGGAGCTAAATCGCTAATATTTGGGACCTAGAAATTGACACAAATGGGTCACAACGCATAAAATAATGTATTATGAATGTATATAAACTGATTTACATTCAATTGTTTCTGTTTTTACTGTAATTTCTAATCAGTTATATTCGGCGAAATACGCCAGGAGTCTCAATTGAATGGCAATTTTTAGCGTCTGGTTATTCCAGTCTACACCGATGGTATTTATTTTGCATGCTCTCCAGATAAGAATATAGCGTCACCATTTGACATGACTTGTGAAATATGTTTAGCCACGTTCTTTGAGTCGTTTGTTCCAAATGGCACTAAAACGCATTTTGGTACACGATTCGTGTACCAATGGTAAAATGTTTAGTTTGTCTTGAATATTGGATTTCAGAAGCCCATCTTTTCCCTGTAAGTTCATAAGACCAATGTTGATTTGAATTAACAAATAATTTGTGTTTTCAATGTCGAAGATCTTTGATGATATTGAGTTAGAGACTTAGCTACTTTAAGTGTAGACTTAAAAGCTGGTTTTAAATGGAAACATTTTATAAATTGATTGCATATTTTGAACATTTTAGCTTATAGGGACAAAAAAATTTTGTCATCTTCCTTGTTAATTTTTTTAGAATTGAATTACACTAAAATTCCAATGAATTTTTATACGCCCACATTTTCATGTGGTCGTATTATGCCGTCGCCCCTGTCCGTCCGTCCACAATTTGTTTGTGGACACTCTACAGGTCACAATTCTTATCCGATTTTAACGAAACTTGAAATATAGGTGTATCTCCAAAAGATCTCGGCTACTTTCGATATTGGCATGTATCGGATCGAAACTTCATGGATTATGGCCCCTGTTTGTACAAAAAATCACGTTTTTGGCTTGTGGACCCTATAGAGGTCACAATTTTTATCCGATTTTGTTGAATCTTGAAATGTAAGTTTATGACCCAAAGATCTCGGTTCCTTTCGATATTCGCACATATCGGACTGTAACTTCCTGAATTATGGCCCCTGATTGTGGACCCTATAGAGGTCATAATTTTTATCCGATTTAAAAAAACGTATTATTATATCACCGTTACACCATAAGGACGACTGAGTTCGAATTTTGTGAAAATTGGCCTAAAATTGACAGACAAAATGGCCGCCGTTCATTCTCAAATAGCGTAAAAATATGGTATATCAAGGTTGTGGACCCTATAGAGGTCACAATTTTTATCCGATTTTGTTGAAACTTGAAATGTAAGTTTATAACCCAAAGATCTTGGTTCCTGTCGATATTCGCGCATATCGGATCGTAACTTCCTGAATTATGGGCCCTGATTGTACGAAAAATCACGTTTTTAGCTTGTGGACCCTATAGAGGTCATATTATTATATCACCGTTACACCACAAGGACGACTGAGTTCGAATTTCGTGAAAATCGGACCAAAAATGACAGACAAAATGGCCGCCCTTCGTTCTCAAATAGCGTAAAAATATGGTATATCATGGTTGTGGACCCTATAGAGGTCACAATTTTTATCCGATTTTGTTGAAACTTGAAATGTAAGTTTATAACGCAAAGATCTCAGTTCCTTTCGATATTTGCGCATATCGAATTGTAATTTCCTGAATTAAGGCCCTTGATTGTACGAAAATTCACTTTCTTGTTAGCTTGTTCTCTATCCATCTCTCGAAAATGTGGGCGTATCCTGCCTGGCAGCCGCTGGTTAATCAAGTAAATCATTTTAGTGGTCAATATGTGCATGTATATACTAAGGTGCTCCATCAGTATGCTACATTACTTAATGAGTGGGGTGTTCGATATACATGTACTGGTTGTAGCTAGGTGAGACAAATTTTCTTCATGGCCTTTAAAGTTACTAGCAATAGGTCACAGCTTACATGGAGATTGCAATTTTAGAAGAGTGGGAAGACGTTGAATACCCACTTTTGTTTCTCTGCTGATATGTATTTGTTAAAGAATAGAACTAATTTTATAGGACATTACGATGTAAGGACTTTGTAATGTCATAAATATTGATGTATCTAGAAAAAGGAAAAGATTATTATTTTCATTTACTTTGTTTCCAGATTAGTGTAGAGAGTGAGCAACCAGTGATTTGGATGGAGGAAGAGAATTATATGTTTCGATTATCAGAGTTTAAAGATAAGATACATGATTGGTTGGATACTGGAGGTAAACATTGTTCTGAACAATGTTCTGAATGTTTATCTATAATTTGTACTTTAATATCAAGTTTAAGATCAGATTTACTATATGTCTTCTTGCATATATGCTAAAAGAAAGTGACAAATTCCTGAATGAAAAGATTATTCTTTTGAAATACAAATATATATAATGTGGTGAGGTTATAACATTTTCTTCCGACCAAGCTGTCATCATTAAATAATATGGCCACCTGAAGTGATATTTTATAGCGATATTGATAATCCATGTGTTGCACAAGTACAATGTTAATGTCAACTCTTATTGTTCATGACTACCTATATTCTGGAGGGCACGTCATTCAAATTGGTTATTCAAAATTAGGATTTACATCACCATTCTGCATTTAATACTGACGCAAGAAATGGTCTAAAACCGATAAATGGAAAAGTATGCTGTGGATAATTATATATATTTAATTTCATTCGAAGTTATTGTAATACAAATCAAAATTATCAAGGTCAGTGTGTTTTCTATAGAGGACATGGTAATATGTGCTGGTATGATTTTTCTACATCCATTTCAGCTATTTATTTTGATAATGAAACATATTTAATTAGCCAAAATGGAATATTTCATTAATAAATTCTTGTAGGCCCTATTTATATTTTATTTCGTAGTCCAATATATAAATTTTTTGTGTAAAGTAAAGAGGTACAGATCGACGAATTCACGATACCGTACCATAAATAAAAACATGAAATATTAATGCAAATTTTCTGTGAAAGCACTGATCCGAACAGTCGATATAGTTTTTCATGTTGTGCTTCTTTAAAAGAAGCATCCCTTCATACTGATGAATGTCTCTAGATCCAGTATGGAAGGATAATGTTGTCAATAATATTTGAATGTTCAAGGTGCAAACTGCATATGTCAGCAGTTCAAATTACATACTTTTGTTTTACAATTTGCAATTTCCATTGCTCCACAATACCAAAGTCACAGTGTTAAAATACAGAATACACTATACAATAATACAAAATACAGTAATATACAGTAAACTTCGCATAAGTCAGATCTAAATGGACTGACCAATTTTATCCAAGTTACGCGAAGTTCTAAGTTAGCCGAAGACCTAGTTCAGCTCTGAACGTAGGTCTCATTATTGCCCTGTACGTTCAGGAACCGTCCTATTGAATTCTTGTCGAAATAATATCAGTTCCCAGTCAATTTTACGAATTTACATGGCTCGGTCATATAAGACAAAACGAAATTTAGGTAACATTTCTATACACATTTCTTAGGTAAAAAAACTCAAAAAACTAAATCTGAAAACTCGTAGGAATCAGATCTGGGAATGAACTTAACTCTAGAAGAATGGGCTCGTATTTACAAGCAAACCTTTGAATTTACAGCCGATAATAGGCTGAAATGGTTTCAATTTCGACTCAATAGTAGAATAATTGGTACAAATTAATTTTTATCTAAAATTGGAATTATTAAATCAGACTTATGTACCTTTTGCAAAAAAGAAACAAAAACATTAATACATCTTTATTACATCTGTGAACATGTACAAGTATATTGGCAAGAATTAGGAATCTGGATTACACTAGAGACAAACAATGATTTTGATATCACCTTGATAACATGTTTATTTGGCATTGATACTGATGATAATAAAATTCCAAATTGATATATAGTTTAGCTAAGTTACACATATATATATAAACAAAGGCTTAGAGAAAATAAACCAATTTTGTTTGTATTTAAAAAAGTATTATTATACTATTTTGAAAAAGAACAAATTATACTCGGTGACAAAGTTCAAGATAGATGGAAAAATTCTGAAGGTCTTTCGTCTGAGTTTTTCCCTGTTAACTGTCCTCATTTAGTAAGGTTTGTGATATCCATGTAGTTTGTTGGGGGGTTGTACTGTGTATTATAATTCGTAGTATATAATGTATGAATGATAAAAAAAAAGCTGGGGTGGGGAAATATTAAAATTGTTGGAAAGCTAAGAAACTTCAGTCATTTATTGCTTTGCCTAGCCCAATTACAATCAAATTTTTTTCTAAAATTCCAATTTCGTTTCATCTTATATGGCTGAGTTGCGCAAATTTGTGCGCTGCCCTGTATATGGATTTCAATAGCATCAGCCAGGCTGCGCACTGTTTGGCGGAGGGGGACATATTTTTAACGGCATGTTGTGAAGGAAAAAAGCCGGAATTGGATAGAATGGACCAAACATTTTGATCCCGGGTTTAGCAAAAATCTGACTTGCACGTCGAAATTTAATAAGAAAATCATGCAGGATTAAAGGTTCCAAACGATTTTATCCGAGTTGAACGAAGATCCGACTTATAAGAATCCGACTTATGCAAGGTTTACTGTAGTTATTTTGCACATTACATTTCTCCATTTTGCATTTTGCATAATAGACAAATACATAATAGAACTTAGCATATATTGGAACATATAACATGTGATCTACAACGAAACTCATTTAATTACGTGATCAATCTACAAGGTCAAGGTCAGTAGAAGGGGGCGGTACTCATATTTAGAGACCCTGTAAAACAATCAATAAAATGAAATGAAATGAGGTTTAATGTGCTACTGTTCTGCTCCGACTGGGCTAATGAAAACGGGCATACGCCATGCAGTGTGCTATGAGGGAAAATTTACTCGTACAGCGGCGCTATATATGTCCTACTCTTGTATGGAATTCCAACTGCCAAGGGATCTTTTACATGCACGCTAATGTGTACACAGGACCTCACTTTTTCATACCATCCGAACGACTGGACAGTTGTCCTTGTTAGGCCCCCCCCCCCCCCCCGTCATCACTTACAAGAGGAAAGAAAAAAGTTTAAAGTCGGGTGGTACGAAACTCTATTAGATGACGGGGGTGTGGGTATTTAAAGTAAACATACATGTACCTTTTTAATACGAATTCCAGATATCATGTCACATATAACTAAAACGCACGTTCATTTCTCTTTTCAAATATTTAAATAATTTTCTAGCACATTTATATTTACATACTTTACATACTTTGAAAAAATGAAATGAAATGAAATGGGTTTAATGTCCTACTTTTCTGCTCTGACCGAGCTAATGAAGATGGACCTATACACAAGACCTTGGTTTTTCGTCCCATCTGAACGACTAGACAAGCCCTCCTTCCGATGAACTTTCCCAGTCAATGCAGGGATCGAACATGCGACCACCAGGCTATTGTATTATTGAATTGTGTATTCTGTATTTTAACACTGTGACATTGGTATTGTGGAGCAATGGAAATTGCAAATTGTAAAACTAAAATATGTATTTTGAACGGCTGACATATGCAGTTTACACCTTGAACATTGAAATAATATTGGCAACATTATCCCTCTATACTCTGGAGCGTGTACAAGATTCTAAAATAAAATCAAGAGTAATATATTATCTAGAAATATAATTTTATTATGACATAAAACTTTTTCTTTTGTGTATTTAAAGTGATCCATTCGAAGAATTTTGAACAGAATGTAAGAACTATGTTAACAAATTTAACAGATTTATCAATTTCCCGACAGTCTGACAGATTAACATGGGGAATACCCGTACCTAATGATCCTACACAAACTGTAAGTATTCTCTCAATCCTTTTCGCCAAATGACAGGATTAGGGCTGGCGGAAATAATCGATAATTGCCGATAATCGTCGGTAAGAGTTTTAAAAATCGATTATCGATACAGTTTTAAAATATCGATTATCGCGCAATTATAGGTACTTCACTTGCAAGAAGAAGTCCATAAAAATAATCCTTATCACTGTATTCTTTGCTTGGGCCTAGAACTGTAATTAAACAGAATAGTCATAATAAAACACACACGTTTGTTGGGTTTTTTTCACGCGAGACGCAACCGGTGAGAAATGTTAACCGCTTATGTCATGATGAGAGCCAATGGTTTCACGTAACATCCAGTTGTGTCCCTTATTTTAACTCTTCAGTTCTTTCGTCTTCTCTGTTTCTAAGTCAAACACGTACTTTCCCTTTATAAAATTTATTAATTTATTAAGAAATTTGCGACAAAATGTCTGAAGAGGAGATTTTTAATTTCCCCAGTGCGAAGAAATCACTGCAAGAAATAAACTGTTATGGCGAACTGAAGAATTCGTTTGATGTGATCAAAGGGAAATAACTACATTTTACTCAGTATTATTCAGGTCATAAGCGCCAATGATATGGCGAGCGGTGGCGGGTTCTGTCTTCCAAACGAAGTTGATTGAGTTTCTTTCTACACCTTGGTTTTGCTATGGAATGCTATTATTTTATTGTCAAATGTCAAATTAACGGGAAAAAAAAATCTACATGTGTACAGAATGATATCACAGCATAAACTCGCATATAATTCGTGTACAAATTATGATTGTTTTCAAACCAATTCAACAATTGTAAGTCAAAATAATTTGCTGATATTATCGATTATTGATCGGCGGATGGTCCGCGATAATCGATACTTGAAACAGGATCGATTGCCAGCCCTAGACAGGATGATACAATTTTGCAAAATGAAATGAAATGAAGTGGGTTGTTAAAACACCCTACTGTTCTGAGCTGTCTGGGCTAATGAAGATAAGCATGTGCCATACAGTGTGCTATGATGGAAATTTTGCCCGAACAGCAGCCCTTATATCAAATTCCAACTGTCAAAGGTTCTTTTTCATCCCATCCAATCGACTATACGTTGTCCATTGCCAGGCCCTCCATCCTGTACCACTGACAAGGTGGAACCACACCGGAAAATCCCAATGAACTTAGGTCAACATAAGGATTCAACACGGGGCATCCAGGTTAGCCACCGGGGCTCTCAATCGACCAATGCCTTGACAGATCAAATGTCCAAAACCAAGCATAGATGTCAGATAACCAACAATACTTATGTTAAAGGATAAATGGTTTCTATCTGACGTACAAACTTTGATCAAACGGCACTGTTCTTGGAAACTCTGGTCGCACTTTTCCTTGGGGAATGGTAATAAAAAGTAATCATTACCCAGTTTGAAGTAATGGACATGTAATGAGTAATGAGACATTTAAAAAGTAATTAATTACATTAATACAATTATCTGTAATGGTCAATTACTTTACATTTGATTACAAATAGTTATGATGATGTTTTTAGCACTAGTTATATAACTGTAACCTGGTTATCATTTAATCTTGTGTATTTTCTTTTACCTTCGTTCAATATCAAATCTTCGTTTAAAAAATCATCTAAAATGCTTGTAAATTGGACATTCATTATCAAAATTAAACAGTCAGCTTTAAACTGGACAAAAGTACAAATTACGGATATTAAAAGAAAGATTCGTCATGATTAAACAATTCCCGTTAACAGTGTGTGCATCTCACACAAATCAGAAACGTATTTATAAACAAAATAAAATTAGTTTCATTCAATATATATACAGATTGGTATTTTTGTAATTTACAATATTATATTCTGTTATATTATAGATATATGTATGGTTGGATGCACTGGTGAACTATTTAACTGTTACTGGATATCCAAATGTGTCATCAAGATGGCCACCAGATTGTCAAATTATTGGTAAAGATATCTTAAGGTAAGATTAGATATGGTTAAAACTTTGTCTTTAATTACGTCTAGAGTTATGGCTCTTGTTTCAAATTGTTGCACCTTATAAATACTTATCATCCAATCTGTGTGAAATTGATATGCATCATTTAGATTAGTAAAACAAAGAAGTCTGTTGAATTTCAGCAATTTCTGTTTATAACTTTTACAGTTTTGGCCGTTGTATAACCCTTTTGAACCTTGCGAATACTCGAATAAGGAAAGATGTCATCCAATCTGTATGACATTTAATAAATGATTTATATGCATCATTTAAATTAGTGAAAAAAAAAGCTGGTCGAACCTTGTGAAACAGAAGTTATCATCCAATAGGTATGAAATTTAGATGCATCATTTAGATTAGTAAAACGAAGAAACCTATTGAATTTCAGCAATTTCCGTCAATTAGGTCTAAATGCAATCTGATTAAAACACAGATCCTATTTTTTTTTTTTTTTTTTATATAGTTCAAAATTTCGTTTTACTTGTCTTCACAACACTAGGATCTGGAAGAGTTGTTATATAACCCACGTTCAGGATGATGTGAGGGATTAGCTAATGAAACGGTCTGTTACAGAGCGTTTTTGGTGTGAGGTGCACGGAACTGTGGGTAACCCACTAGAAACATCAAAGCTGATTGGTATATCGAATCCCTGACATGAAAGGGTCAAAAGCCGCTCGTATGACCTCTGATGCAACCTCCCATTACAACTGGTCAGATCTCATGTAGTAGAGGCCATCGAAAGTATAAAAAAACAAAAACGAAATATAGATCTGTCTTTTAATCAGATTGGTCTAGATGGCTCTTGTTTTACTTTGTTCAACCCTGTTACCATCTGATCTGTACGAAATTTATATGCATCAACAATTTCTGTAAGTTACTTCCAGAGTTCAGGGCCTTGTTTCAGTTATAAACCTTGTGAACCCTCAAATGACAAAAATTATAATCTGATCTGTATGGAATTGTCTTATAAATGATCCTCCATTACCTACAAAGGAATAAATATGTGACAACCCTTGTCAACAGCTTGGACATTTTAGCTGCTGTGGGTGTATGTTTTGTTGTCTGGCAACCTATCTTATCATTCAGGTTTCATGCTGTATACTGGCCAGCATTTTTAATGGCTGCTGGTCTTGAACTCCCTAAAAAATTGCTGTGTCATTCACATTGGACTGTTGATGATACCAAGGTAAAATTCTTTTTCCATATGTAAAACATAATATATACATTCCTTCTTTTCTTCCTTAAAATTAGAATATAGTTTATTTTCTTTGTCTTCTTATAATCTTATAATGTATTGTAGACCAGCATTAAATTACCTAACTTGTAAATTACCTTATTTGTAAACTAAATCATACCTCTTACAAAATAGTAGGCCTACATCTTAGAATGGAAAATCCATTACTTGTCTTTAGTACACTAGGATCTGGAACAGTTGTTATATTACCAGCGTTTTGGTTGAAGTGAGGGATAAGCCAATGAAACAGTCTGTTTTACGCGACTTCTTGGTGTGCCACGCACAGAACTGTGGGTAAACCACTAGAAACGTCAACGCTGATTGATTAATCAACGTCTGACGCCATAGGGTCAAAAGCCACTCGTACGTCCCCTGACACGACCTTCAAGTACACAACTTGTCAGATCTTCATGTAGTGTAGGCCATCGAAAGTAAGAAGAAACAAAACAAAATATAGATCTGTATTTTAATCAGATTGCTTTGTAAAGTACAAAGTATTTTGTGTCACTCTACTAAAAGATGTAAAAATAAAAATCGGTGATAGGTTTTTGAATATAAGACATAAGAGTGGCTATGTAAAGAACAATAATATTTTTGGGTGTCAGATGGTCCAATCATTTGCAAATTCTAATTATAGATTGATAATGAAGACATGATGCCTGGTACAAACTTTATTATTAATTTAAGAAAGTATTTGTGATATTGTTAAGAAGTTAATATGTAGCACTGTCATCATTATCTATCTATTGTTTAGAATATTGAAATAGATGGACTATCAACTTTAAAATGATATTTCTATATTTTATGATAAAAGATGTCAAAGAGCATTGGTAATGTTGTTAATCCTATGGATAAGATGAACCAGTTTTCTGTAGATGGTTTACGGTATTTCTTACTGAGAGTTGGAGTACCTCACTTAGATGGCAGTAAGTATGTCAATGTCAAAACAACCATTATGCTTTCACATTTTGTTTTCAGGTGATCTGTGTTGTAATTCCAAATACTTTTAGAAGAACAATTACTGATTATTTAGGTGATGTTTCAAAGAGTATTATTTATTTCAAATTACAGTGATATAAACTATGATGATTGATTCATTATCTTTATTTCCTCAATAATAAGATTAAATAGCAATAAAGTAAAGTGAGAAAGATTATTAAATATACGGACAGGGGCGACAACAATATACGTCCACATGAAAATTATGTGGACGTATATTGTCGTCGCCCCTGTCCGTCCGTCCATCCACAATTGTATGTGAACAGTCTAGAGGTCACAATTTTTATCTGATTTCAACGAAACTTGAAATATGGGTTTATCACCCTAAGATCTCGGTTCCTTTTCGATATTGGCATGTATCGGACTCTAACTTCATGAATAATGGCCCTTGATTGTACGAAAAATCAAGTTTTTGGCTTGTGAACACTGTAGAGGTTACAATTTTTATCCGATTTGGTTTAAACTTGAAATATATGTTTATAATCCACAGATCTCGGTTCCGTTGATATTCGTGCATATCGGACCATAACTTCCTGAATTATGGCCCCTGATTGTACGGAAAATCACATTTTTAGCTTGTGGACCATATAGAGGTCATAATTTTTATCTGATTTAAAAAAACGTTTTAGTATATCACCGTTACACCCTAAGGATGGCGGAGTTCGAATTTCGTGAAAATCGGACCAAAACTGACTGACAAAATGGCCGCCTCTATAGAGGTCATAATTTTTATCCGATTTAAAAAAACGTTTTAATATATCACTGTTAGACCCTAAGGATGGTTGAGTCCGATTTTCGTGAAAATTGGCCCAAAACTGACAGACAAAATGGCCGCCCCTCGTTCTCAAATAGCGTAAAAATATGGTATATTCAGGTTGTGGACCCTCTAGAGGTCACAATTATCTGCTGATTGCGATGAAACTTGAAATGTAGGTTTATAACCCAAAGATCTTGGTTCCTTTCGATATTCGCGCATATCGGATAGTAACTTCCTGATTTATGGCCCCTGATTGTAGGAAAAATCACGTTTTTAGCTTGAGATACTTCTACAGGTTACAATTTTTATCTGATTTAAAAAAAATGTGTGAATATATCACCAAGATCTTGGATCCTTTTGATAATCGTGGATACCCGAACATAACTTCCTGGATTATGGCCCCTGATTGTTTCGAAAAATGGCATTTTTAGCTTGCGGATTCTCTAGAGGTCACAATTTTTTTTCCGATTTTAAAAACCATTTAAATATTTCACCATTCCACCATAATGAAGGTTGAATTCGAATTTCAGGAAAATCGAAACGAAACTGCCCAACAAAATGGCCTCTCTTTGTATGCAAATTGTGTAAAACTATACAATACAAATGTTGTCGACCCTCTAGAGGTCACAATTTTTATCCGATTCTGATGAAACTTAAAATATATCTATATATCCCAAAGATCTCAGTCCCTTTTGATATTTGCGCATTTCAGACCATAACTTTCTGGATTATTGCCCCTGGTTGTACAAAAAATCCCATTTATTTTTAGTTTGTTCTCTATCCATCTCTTGCAAAATGTGGGCGTATCCTGCCTGGCAGCCAGTGGTATCCGTCTATTTACAATTCAGTTAAACAGTTCATCACGTTGGTCCACATTTCTTTTAATCCTTCACTAACTAGAAACATAAAAGTTGTCCATTTCACAGCTGACATCTGTTAATAATAATAATAATAATAATAATAATAACTTTATTTAAGAAGGGTAAAGGATTAGGCTGTAGAAGCCTTTCTACCATCCTGCCCTTAATGAAAAAAATATAATACAAAAGATGATAGCATAACAAATAAAAGAGAAGGATGAACAGGAGTATAAAATAATCAGGATGAAATTATAATACAAAAGATGACAGCACCAAAGGAGACAGATGTAATAGCACGGTTTGAGCCTTTAAAACAGATGCTGTTTTTTTACAATATTAAGCTTTGGCGCAGAGTGATTAGTTTGTTATTAATGTTGGTGTAGGGAGTTTCATAGAAAGACAAAATATTGAACAGATAAACAGGACATTGCTTGGATAAAATTTTGGACATAAAGTTACATAAATTGTAGGCATGACAGTTTTCTATTGTTAAAAGTTTTAAGGTATTTAAATTGTTGGGTACAGTTCATCGGTATGATCGACATTAAGCAGTAGTTTAAAAGCCATGATTTGTCGTCTAGAAAGACATTCAAGAGATTTGGAGTCACAGGAGTCCCAAATTGGAGAACAGTAATCAAAATGTGTCTGAATATGAGCATTATAAAAAAGAGTGAGGTAGGAGAGAGAGGGAGATATTGTTTAATCTTACGGAGAAGGAAAAGTTTCTGATTTAATTTTTTAGAGATACATTGAATATGGTCTTTCCAAGTTAAGTTATGATTTAAAATGACGCCTAAAAGTTTAAAGGATGAGACTACTTTTATTGATTCATTGTCGAGTTTTATATCAAGAGTAGTGGGGAGAAAATTTCTTTTTTGGTGGGTTATAAAGAGCATTGCTTTGTTTTTTGTTACATTAAGTTGCATTCCGGTTTAAATACACCAGGTTTGTATTCTGTCAGCATCAAGCTGTAGTTTTGTTTGGAGAAATTCAACGGTTGGGCCAGGGGTGCAGACTGTCGTATCATCAGCAAATAGGTCAGTTTTGGAAGAGAGATTTAATGGTTAGTCATTAATGAAAATATTGACCAGGAGGGGTCCTAATATCGATCCTTGAAGTACGCCATAATGTATGCTTCATAGCAGATAGTTCACCATTAATGAAAGTACACTGGTTTCTGTTTTTTAAATAGGATTCTAAGAATTGTAATGCATTTTAAGAAAATTGAAAATATCTGCATTTCGTCAATAAAATATCATAATTGACCACTGATCAAAAGCTTTTTTGAAGTCAAAAAATATGGTACCACAAAGAAGATTATTATTTATAGCATCTTATATATTTTCCATTAATGTGAGTTAGGGCTGTAAGGCAAAAGGGGGTTGGATGGCCGAATGGTTAGCACATGCGTGCACTGTATCATAAGACCTGTCATTGAGTCAACTAGCGTGGTTTCGAATCCCCGGTTGTACGTGACAAGGAGTAGGGTTGCTTGTCCAACCTCGTGGGTTTTCTCCGGGTCCTCCGGTTTCCTCCCAGTGCTAAAGACCCCTACGTGCAAGCGAATTATTGAAATGAAATTAAACCATATGTTAGTCCCGAAATGACCTAGTTTGTGTCGAGTGGACGTTAAACCCCATTTCTCTCTCTCTCTCTTTCTCTCTGTAAGGCAAAAGTTTGGTGTTCTGAAACCTGATTGATGCCTATACAAGAGGTGATATTTATTTAAATACTTACTAAGATGTCCATGAATATGTCTTTCAAGGACTTTTGATACCGTTGGGAGAATAGATATAGGCCTATAGTTATATTGTACCACAAAGAAGATTATTATTTATAGCATCATATATATATATATTTTCCATAATGTGAGTTAGGGCTGTAAGGCAAGAGTTTGGTGTTCTGAAACCTAATTGATTCATATACAAGAGGTGATATATATATATTTAAATACTTACTAAGATGCCTGTGAATATGTCTTTCAAGGACTTTTGATACCGTTGGGAGAATAGATATAGGCCTATAGTTATTTGGGTCATCCTTAGCTCCAGCTTTGTAAATTGGAATAACCTTAGCTTGTTATAAATGATAGGTATTGTAATTTATTGATAGGTTGAAGACATGGGTTAGACTTTGGGCAAGATGTTCTGCCCCCAACTCAAGAAACAGTGGATTTACTGAATCCAAGCCTACTGCATTTGACACGTCAAGGGACTAAAGAGACTCTTTCACAAAAGATACTTTAAAGTTACAATTTCATATTTTGAAGTTATATTTTTAAAATGTATTAAAATAAAGCCCTAAAATAGATGGTATCTATAAACAGTCCTACCTTGTTAGAGAATAATCCTATTAATCCTATAATTCACTAATTGCCAGTTGAGAAATTGGCAAAAATATCATGTTCAACTTCAAATTCAAACGTTTGAAGATAGCTACTCCATGGTGGAGAATAGAAAACAAGGGAGGTAATTGTGTTATTATTTCCGGTGTAAATGAGTTTTAAGTGTGAGAATTACACCTATGATCGTATAATAGTGAGTTGACAACCTATTGAGCAAAAGACATAGAAATATATATGTTTTGACTTTCTTAGAAAATATGAAATTGTAACTTTAATGAAGGAAATATGGAAAGATTCATTTGTCGGTACTTTTGAATCTATGTGTTCTTTTTAACAGATTATTGTCGTAAGATGATGAATTTGTCACGTCATCATTGTTCGCGTGAAGTATTTTATCAGGAATTTCGGAGTAAAAGTTTTTAAGGTTATTTCTATCGATTGGAATAGTGGAAGTATTTTTAGTTTTGTTAACACCTGAGTTTATTGCATCCCATACTCGTTTGGGATTTTTACCATCACCGGCGAGATTTTGAAGATATTTCGATTTAGTTTTTCTAATGGCTTTTAAACTATTGCAACATCTTTTAAATTCTGTTTCATTTTTTTGGCCTGACAAGGACAGCTGTCTAATCCTTCGGATGAGACAAAAAAACGAGGTCCCGTGTATACATTGGAATGCACGTAAAAGATCCCATTGGCAGTTGGAATTTGATATAAGAGTAGGCAATAGTGCCAATGCCCGGGCAAAATTTCCCTCATAGCACACTGTATGGCGTATGCCCGTCTTCATTAGCCCAGTATAGGAGCAGAACAGTAGGACGTTAAACCCCATTTCATTTCATTTCATTTCATTTCTGTTTCATTTTTGTTTCTCTTTCATTAATCTAAATATTTCATTTGTTAGCCATTGCGGTTTTACAGCAGTTTTAACCCATCTAGTTCTTATGGGGGCGTGTTGATTAGTTATTGGGGTAACAAGATTATACCAAGCTGTAAGAGCGTCTTGGGGGTTATTTGCAAAATAGACTTCTTCGAAATTAATTTGACTTATATCGCGAATGTAGTTTTCGTCACTGAAATTTCTGAAAGATCTATAGAACACATAAATATGGCTAGTTTTAGGAATTTTTACACCTTTTTTGACCACATAATACATGTGGGGAAATGGTCTGAGATTAAATAACACGGTACTACAGTTTCTATAATATGATTTGGAGAAGGTACAATAACATGTTCAATTAAAGTTGAAGAAGAATTAGTTACACGAGTAGGAGAGGAGATGATTTGAGTCAAATTATATAAATTTAATGTGTCTGTCCATGAGGGATTTTTTTTTGTGTAAAAGGTCAATATTGATGTCGCAAAAAAAATTATTTCATAGTCTTTAAGCCACATAGAGTCCATCATTGATTTAAATTCATCTTGCCACTTCGAGTGAGATGCTGGATTTCTGTATAAATAACAGATTAACATTGGTTTTGTATTCTTTAAGGTAATTTCAACCCAAATAGCTTCAAGATTATTTGGTTCCAAATCAAGATCTTGTTTTACAATTAATGGTATCCATAACATATAACAAAGTACCAGAGGAGCTAAATGAACACTTATCGCTTCTAAAAGGTGAATGAAATACCAGGGAATGCAATGAAATCATCAGACACTCACACAGAATCTGTTAAGTGGGTTTCAGTGAACCCAAATATATCAAAGTTGTTAAGAAGTAGCTGAAGTTCAGATATTTTGTTAGCAAAATGACATACATTAAGATGTCCCATATGATGACCTTTTTCAGTCAAAAAAATCATACATCAATAATAAATATGAATAAATAAACAACACGAGGTCAACTACGTAAATAACACTAAAATAATGATCGTTACCTGCTAAACCAAATTTTAAAATTTGCAGCATAAGTTTCTAACATTCCACTCAACACAAGATAGCACATGTAATAATATGAGTATACACAGTTAATGTTTATGTGTTTATCTATCGTTGATCACATATCACAGAACGCAAGGTTCATGTAGCACATAGATCCTAGTAGGGTTTCTATTAAAATATTTTCCTCACTGTTAAACAGATATTTAAATAAAATTGATATCTATTTCATTTAAAATGTTCTCATACAGTCTATCCCGTTCTTTATATAGCTTAACACAATTCAGCATAAAATGCTTTGTCATATCATCACATATTTTTATATGCCCACATTTTCATGTGGATGTATATTGTTGTTGCCCATGTCCGTCCGTCCATCCACAATTTGTTTGTGGACACTCTACAGGTCACAATTTTTATTTTATTATGACGAAACTTCAAATATAGCTCCATCTCCCAAAGATCTCAGTTCCTTTCGATATTGGCATATATCGGACCATAAATTCCTGAATTATGACCCTTGATTGTACATAAAAATCGCGTTTTAGCTTGTGGTACCTCTAGAGGTCACAATTTTTATCCGTTTTAAAAAAAACGTTTGAATATATCACCGTTACACCCTAATGATGGTTGAGTGTGAATTTAGTGAAAATCAGACCAAAACTGCCGAACAAAATGGCCACCCCTTGTACGCAAATAGTGTATATATGATATATCAAGGTTGTGGACCCGCTAGAGGTCTCAATTTTGATCCGATTTTGATGTAACTTGAAATACATGTTTATAACCCAAAGATCTTGGTTTCTTTTGATATTCGCGCATATCAGATCGTAACTTCCTGAATAAATGGCCCTTGATTGTATGAAAAATCGCGCTTATAGCTTGTGGTCCCTCTAGAGGTCACAATTTTTTATCCGATTGAAAAAAAACCCCAAAACGTTTGAATATTTCACCGTTACACCCTAATGACGGCTGAGTTAGAATTTCGTGAAAATCAGACCAAAATTGCCAGACAAAATGGTCGCCCCTCGTACACAAATAATGTAAATATATGGTATATCAAGGTTGTGGATCCTCTAGAAGTCACAATGTTGATCCGATTTTGATGAAACTTGAAATATATCTTTACAACCTAAAGATCTTGGTTGCTGTCAATATTCGCGCATATCGGATCGTAACTTCCTGAATTATGGCCCTTGATTGTACAAAAAATCGCCTTTTGTTTAGCTTCTTCTCTATCCATCTCTTGCAAAATGTGAGCGTATCCTGCCTGGCAGTCGATGGTTATTAACACAATTTACACATCACGTCTCCATCAGTTTTAAAATGCAATGTCTACATTGTCTATTTTGGTTACATATTTTCCATAGATTTCAAATTACAGTGATATCAACTATGATGTATTTTAGATTACAGTGATGCAAACTATGGTGTATTTCAGATTACAGTGAGATAAACTATGATGTGTTTTAGATATAAATTATGATATATTTCAGACTAGCAAGATGCCAGGCTTCGCCGGGCCCCAAATTTGCCCTGTGTATGTATGTTTGCCAATCACGCTTCGCCTGGGGCCCAAATCTTCAGGGGCCAAAATTCGATGGCCTACAGTATTTACACGGTCATGCTTGTTAATTTGATACCACATATGTGGGAAAGGAGTGTTACAACAAAGCTTGATGGGCGATCATACACACCTACATACACACTACGAATTTATATTTCAGATTACAGTGATATGAACTACGGTGTATTTCAGATTACAGTGATATAAACTATGATGTATTTCAGATTACAGTGATATAAAGGCTGTAGAATGTATAAACAGTGAATTAGTGAATGTATTAGGTAACTTATTGAATAGATGTACATCTCTAACTATAAACTTGCAACAAGTATGGACTGGTTGTTATGTAGATGATATAGAGAAGTTTTTGTCACCTGCTGATCAAAACAAATTTCATAGTCTAAAACATCTAGCAGGTATATTAAAAGATTGTTTTTTTAATCTAAATTATTAATTAGTCTCACTCACCTGCCCTTTGGTAATATATAATTGAAATTAAAGATGACAAAAGATATATATATATATATATATATGCCATCTTTAATTTCAATTATATATTACCCAATTACCCAATTATATATATATTATATTATATATTATATATATATATACCCTCTGGAGGCATCTAGTCCTATTCCCTGTCACTTAAATGGTATTGAAACTTCACCATTTGCAATGATGATCTCAAGCATACCTGTTAGTTGTAGTAATATGGCGACCATATTGTATCGTTAACTAATTATTAGATTCACATTTTGTATAGAGTCATATCTCATGCACTCTAATGAATTTGACTGATGTTTGTATATAAAAACAGTGATAATTTGGTAAACACGCTGGTTTTACCCTTTCCATTGTCAAAATATCCATTAAATACTGTCTTGTTATGACATGTGTTTGGTAGGCCAAATAAGGTATTGTTCTCCTCTCAGTCTTTGGCGTATGGGGATGTTTATTGCATATTTGAGAAGGAAATTAACGCTAAGTCAGTCTATAACGGAAAGTTATAAAAGAGGGCGTTGAGCGAAATTCATGGAGCTCACCCGGTTTGTCAGAACAGCCATCAAAAGTTATCTACACTTTATTCGGAAAGAGGAACATTGATGCCAAGTGGTTTTAATAATAAAGTTGTATAAATGACCAACCTGTAGTTACATTTATGATCACGAAGAAAACACAACAAAGAAGTCTGGTATTACTACATAGTCTGCCCAACCCCTCTACTTTGTACTAACACCCAGCCTACTGCCCTATCAGAGTAGATTCCTAAACTGATTGTACAATAAGAATTGTTGTTCCATACTTCAATATGGTCTGCGAAAGGGCTTGACAAATATGACATCTGTCAAGCATAGATAGTTCACCATACAGATTAACCAGATTTACTCCCCCCTATCATTTTGATGCGTTTGTACATTTTTGAACAATAAGGCTGGTTTAACACATTTTCTGGGTAAAATGGCTCCTAATTAAAAACGATGAAGAATTATCAAATGTTGCAGGGTGGACAAGGGGCTAATCATAAAGTTAAACGACTTCTGGGTGTTATGTTATTCAATTTTTTTTTCAGATGTGGTTGATAGGTTTTACACAGAGTTTTCTGTATACAAAGCTCTTCAAAAGCTTATATCTCAACTTCATTGGACCAACGCCTTCGTGGAGCATCATAAACCCTGGCAACTAGTGAAATCGGAACAGTCATTGGGCCATTTAAATGTTGTTTTGCATGTGACCATGGTTACCTTAAGGAATTGTGGGATTTTATTACAACCTGTTATCCCTAATATAGCGAACAAATTATTAAATAGATTAAATGTGTCTGATGATTGTAGAACTTTTGAACACGCAAAAGAGCTTAGTTTGGATAAAAAGACACGGCAGTTAGGAAAAGATAACTCTATTTTACTGAAACGAATAAAAATGTGAATTTTGTTTGGGTGAAATACATAGATCTTTATTAGTGTGCGAGTGGAAGAATGAAAAATAAAGCAATCAATCAAATACTTCAAATATTAAGTGTTTAATTTCTGTATTAATGATGCCACCCTGTCGCCATTACCACCGTACATGCACAGTATAAATCCCAATCTGATTAAAACACAGATACTCTTTCGTTTCGTTTTTTATAGTTCAAAATTTCGTTTTACTTGTCTTTACTACACTATGACCTGAAAGAGTTCTTCTCACTCAGCAGAATCCAGTCCCCTACATCTAGCCTCGGCTGTATGACGAGGTCCGCCATTTGAACAACTTTCAAGTTCTAGGATTACCAACGGCGTTGCCCATGACAACGGCTTTGAAGAATGCTTTATCTTACAAATATTTTAAAGTTTGGAGATGTTTTTCTTTCAAGTTTAACCGTCATACAGCTGAGGCTAGGTGTAGGGTACTGGAATCTGCCGAATGGAGTTATTATTACCAGCGTTTTCGTTGAAGTGAGGGATAAGCCAATACAGTCTGTTACGGGGACTTCTTGGCGTGCCATGCACGGAACTGTGGGCAAACCACTAGAAACGCCATCGCTGATTGATTAATCGATGTCTAACGTCATAGGGTCAAAAACCTCTCATACCACCCCTGACACGACCTTCGAGTACAACTGGTCAGATCTTCATGTAGTGTAGGTCATCGAAAGTATACCAGCGGCTGCCAGGCAGGATACGCCCACTTTTTGCAAGAGATGGATAGAGAACAAGCTAAAAACAAATTCCATTTTTTTGTATAATCAGAGGATATAATCCTGATGTTGTGCATCAACATCGATACTTGCCGTTCTTAGAGTATAAGGAATAAGTATAGCAAGATAATCCATTCAGAATTGTGGCTTTCAGGCGCTAAAGGCAAAAAGTGGGCGTGGCTCTGCCCTGGGAGGGGCGGGGGGGGGGGGGGTCGGGGCATTCACCAAAATCAATAGTTGATGCCCTTAGGCTATAAGGACTACATGCCAAGTACCAAGCCGATTCATTCAGATTTGCGGCCTGTAAACGACAAACACAAAATTGGGCGTGGCTCTGCCCCTGGGGGTCGGGACATGCATTTGTCGTCCTTAGGCTATAAGGAATACATATCCCAAGTTCAAAGACGATCCATTAATAATCGTGATCTGTAGGTAACACACACAGACACAAAGAAGAAATGGGTATGGCTCTGCCCCTGGGGGTTGGGCAATCACCAAAAACCAATAGGGGTCATCCTTAGGGTATAAGGAATAGGTATGCAAGGTTTCAGAAGGATCTGTTAAAAACTGCGACCTGTAGGCGAAACACACGACACACAAACATTGGGCGTGGCTCTGACCCAGGGGGTCGGGCATGCACCAAGAATAATAGAGGTCATCCTTAGGGTATAGGGAATAAGTATAAAAAAAGTTTTCAAGACGATTGATTAAGAATTATGGGCTGTAGGCGACACACAGACACACAAAAAGAAAAAGGGTGTGGCATTGTCCCTGGGGGTTGGGCATGCACCCCAAACGATAGGGATGTTCCTTAGGGTACAAAATATAAGTATGCAAAGTTTTAAGATAATACGTTAAGAAATGCGGCCTGTAGACGACAAACAAATACAAGAAATGGGCGTGGCTCTGCCACTGGGGGTTGGGCATGCACCAAAAACAATAGGGATCATCCTTATGGTATAAGGAATAAGTATGTAAAGTTTGAAGATGATCACTTCAGCATTGTGGCCTGTAGGCCACATACACAGACACACAAAAAGAAAATGGGCGTGGCTCTGCCCCTGGGGGTTGGGCATGCACCCCAAACGATAGGGATGTTCCTTAGGGTACAAAGAATAAATATGCAAAGTTTCAAGATGATATGTTAAGAAATGCGGCCTGTAGACGAAAAACAAACAAATACAAGAAATGGGCGTGGCTCTGCCCCTTGGGGTCGATCATGCACCAAAAACAATAGGGATCATCCTTAGGGTATAAGGAATAAATATGTAAAGTTTCAATATGATCACTGAAGAATTGTGGCCTGTAGGCGACACACAGGCACATATACACACGCACACAGGGGCGACGGCAATATACGTTCACATATGGATGTGGACGTATAAAAATGAGATTTTTCGAACAATCAGGGGCCATAATCCAGGAAGTTAAGTTCGGGTATCCGTGATTATCAAAAGGAACCAAGATCTTAGTGTGTAATGGTGATATATTCACACGTTTTTTTTTAAATCGGGTAAAAATTGTGACCTTTAAAGGGGCCACAAGCTAAAAACGTGATTTTTTGTTCAATCAAGGGCCATAATTTAGGAAGTTACGATCAGATATGCGCGAATATCGAAAGGAATCAATATCTTTGGGTTATAAACATTTATTTCAAGTTTCATCGAAATCGGATCAAAATTGTAGCCTTTAGCGGGTCCACAACTTTGATATACCAGGTGTACGAAGGGTGGCCATTTTGTCCGGTAGTTTTGGTCCGATTTTCATGAAATTCAAACTCAGACAAAATTACGGTGTTATAATGATATATTCAAACGTGTTTTTAAATCGGATAATAATTGTGACCTCTAGGGGGGCCACAACCTAAAAACGCGATTTTTCGTACAATCAGGGGCCATAATTCAGGGAGTTACGTTTCTATATGTACGAAAATATCCAGGAACCAAGATCTTTGGATTATAAACATGCATTTCAAGTTTCATCAAAATCAGATCAAAATTGTGACCTCCAGATGGTCCACAACCCTGATACACAATATTTTGACACTATTTGCGAACGAGGGTCGGCCATTTTGTCCGCCAGTTTCGGTGCGATTTTTACGAAATTCGAACTCAACCAACCTTAGGGTGTAGCGGTGGTATATTCAAACGTTTTTTTTTAAATCGGATTATAAGTGTTACCTCTATAGGGTCCACAATCTATAAACGCGATTTTTCGTACAATCAGGGGCCTTAATTCAGGAAATTATGGTCCGATATGTGCGAATATCGAAAGGAACCGAGGTCTGTGGGTTATAAACATACATTTTAAGTTTAAACCAAACCGGACAAAAATTGTGACTTCTACAGTGTTCACAAGCTAAAAACGTGATTTTTCGTACAATCAGGGGCCATAATCCATGAAGTTAGAGTCCGATACATGCCAATATCGAAAGGGGTCGAGATCTTAGGGTGATAAACCTATATTTCGAGTTTCATAGAAATCGGATAAAAATTGTGACCTGTAGAGTATTCACAAACAACTGTGGACGGACGGACAGGGGCGACGACAATATACGTCCACATGAAAATGTGGGCGTATAAAAAAAAACGAAACGAAATATTGATCTGTATTTTAATCAGATTGTATAGATCCTGGCCCCAAAAAAACTTTGAACGCCAAAACAATGTCCTTGGCCATCATAAAAGGTTTCTGCTTCTCTGCTTCTACCTGTTCATGGCCACCACCAACGAGTTGATTATTTTGCCATTTTTGAGTGCGCGTGCTATTAAAAAACTGATAATTGACAGTGTATTTACAGATAAACTATTTACAATAAAATAAAACCAAGTACGAACAACCCAAGTGTTGGTGTTTCGTTGAATCCCATAGTGGTGGAGTTTGTGTATCAACAAGCTATGGCTTACTTTGTCGGAGGCATTGGAGAAGTCCATTATTAGGGCGTCAGTTTCCTAAATCCTTGTTGGAGGGTATATAATAATGTGGTTTCTGTCTGAGAGAGCGAGAGAAATGGGGTTTAACGTCCACTCGACACAAACTAGGTCATTTCGGGACTAACATATGGTTTTAATTTTATTTCAATAATTTGCTTGCGCGTAGGGGTCTTTAGCAGTGGGAGGAAACCGGAGGACCCGGAGAAAACCCCGAGGTTGGACAGGCGACCCTACAACCGGGGATTCGAAACCACACCAGTTGACTCAAGGTTTCTGTCAGCATGGTTCATTATGTGACTGGTGACTAGTGTTCCATTATCTTGCAGCAGACACAGATGAGGGAGATAGGTCTATATTTCTCTTCTCTGTGACGATCACCATTCTTATATACAGGGATAACGTTTGCGGTTTTCCAGTCCTTTGGAACCGTTCCGGTGTATAATGATTTACGGAAGATGATTGATAGTATAGGCGCAATTTATTCGGCATGTTCTTTCAGTATCTTGGGCTTGATATTATCTGAGCCTGCTGCTTTATTCGGGTTTAGATCTTTAAGTATTTTTAAGATCCCTACTGTTTTGATTTCCGGTGCAGATAGGAATTGCCAAGGCATCTTACAACGGATGTTGAAGTCGTGTCTGCACTTTATTTCACATTTCTCGTTGAACGCTGATTGAAATTGTTTATTCAGTATTTAACCAATCATATCTTGTGTTATCAATCAGGGCAACTGGGTACCTTTGGCTATCGCCCAAGTTCCTATAATTCTGATATATTGTAAAAAAATTGACAAATATTATTTACACCAATTGGTATATCATAGTCAGATAATGCACTTAGGGTATCAGAATGATATCGCAATGATACTACATTTTTAAAGATAGTTTGGGCAGCCATTTCGACAGAACTTATGACAGAATTGTCAAAGTTCGCAGGAAAAAGGTCAAGGTTCATTTGGCACATGCGCAGCAATAATCCGTACTAACAACCGTTTTCAGACCCGGCCGCTTTCGGCTCGTCCAAATGTTCAACCATAGTTCAACTAGGTCTCGACCATGCGCACCCGAACTTGAAATGGTTAGACTATAGTCGCGACCATGATTAACCCACCTTTCGAGGTCGGTTGAGGCTGGTCAAGTCAGATTTAAAATGGCGGCCCGCGACAAAACATATGTTGTGTTGGAATTGTTATTTGAAAATAGAACGTATAGGCCTACTACCAATGTTGCCCCAGAACCTGAGACTTATTTAAATTCATATAACATATTTAAGTAGTTTCGAGATTATATAATATAGAGTGGATAATCATGTTTTGTCAATCAATTCGACCAAGCTGGATGGTGTCAGACTGAAATTGTGAAAGTGACAGTATTATTGCAACGTGAAGTTGGCACGTTATTCGTGATTCGGGATC